CGCGCCTTTCTCCGCCAGCAGCAGGGAAGTGCCCCGCGTTGGTGGGAGAGGCGCCGCGGAACTTGTGGAGCGGGGCTGCCCTCACACCCGGGGTGCTGGAGCGGGCACCGTGCCTGCACAACTCACGCCACGAGTGCGGAGCAGGCACGCTCCCTACACAGCACACCCGCTCACTGAGGGGTGCAGCCCTCACGCACGCCCCGCGAGTGCGGAGCAGGCATCGCACCTGCACAACACACACACACTCACTGGGGAGTGCTGCAGACACAACACACACGCTTGCTGAGGCGTGCAGAATAGACACTGGACCTGCACAACACACGGCGTGAGGTGTGCGGAGCAAGCATTGTGCACACGCTCACACACACACGCAGAGCGAGCGGGCAGAAAAAGGCATTGGAGCCTCGCCACGCACACGCGACTCGTGAGAGATGAGCAGGGATTTTACCTAAGATACCCAACGAGGTGTGTAAAGCAGGCATCTGACCTAACCATCCGTACGTGTGGCTGCATATCTGTTTCATAACTGCATTAGCTATTTAGGGACATGCGTTTCCTGTTGACTGCCCTCAGGACACCAAACCACGCACAGCTGTGAGGTAGCGTTTTTGGTTTTGACTTTTTCAGTAATGACTCGCTGAAGCTGTGATATTTCAACCTTTCCATTAAGATCAGCTTGATAAGCTGAGCTATTACTTTGTGTGTTGTAATAAAGGATGTAATATGATCAGCTGGGAGATGGCGTAAAGGTGACTATGTAGAGGGGTTTGAGAGTGTGTTCATACAGGGGTATATATGTGACCCTGTGTTGGGATATGTATTTATACAAGAGTTAGGGAAGATCTCTATCGGCTGTGTCTATAACAGAGCACATTATAAGGGTACTTGTAGGGGAGGTGGATTTCTTCCTGCAGGTATGTAGATTTGTGTGATCAGATTTCTTGCTAGAAAGAGTTTGCATTTTATTTGCCTTGGGGGTGATCTGTAAGTGTCTGTCCTTGGTTTTGACGTGCTTTGTGTTGGAGAAACTGACAGAGATTTTGTCATGTGCAGGTGATTCTTGCTGACAATTTTCAGTAGCAACTGCTGGTGATGGCAGATGCTTTAACTCTTTTTCCCCCTTTGCAAAGTGAAGAATGACAGTAATTGCCTAGAAGCTTCAGGGGGTTACCTATACAGAGTTAGTCTGTATAGGTAAACTGAAAAAAACAACAAATAGTCTGGTAACACTGTATAGACTAACAAAACATGTAGATGGTATCCTGAGCTTTCGTGGGCACAGCCCACTTCTTCAGATGACTGGAATGTTGGATGTCTAGGACCAAAAGAAACAGGGGAGATGGGGGGGGGGAGTGGAAGAAGGGAAAATTGGGGAGGGGGAAGGGGAACACAAGAAAAGGCTAGATGTTTCATCAGTCTTTATGTGTTTCCTGACTCTTTGTTTGATAATTAATGGTTCTTATCTGCCCCCTTTGACTAGTCTTTAGGTGCTTATAGACTCGGCTTTCCTTTGATATATTTTTTACCCACTGCCTTTTCTTGTCCTCCCCTCCCTCCCCCCCCGCTCCCAATTTTCCCTTCTTCCGCTCCTGTCTCCCCTATTTATTTTGGTCCTAGACATCCAACACTCTGGTCATCTGAAGAAGTGGGCTGTGCCCATGAAAGCTCATGATACCATCTACATGTTTTGTTAGTCTATAAAGTGCTACTTTTTGTTGTTTTTTCAGTTACAGCTTAGAATACCTTGGCATCAAAGACAGTGGGACGGGCATTCTTGATTATGCAAGGACTACCTCTGAGGTCTTAACAGTACAATATTAACACCCTCCTCCCCCGGACAAATACTAGGTAATGTGCTGGTAAGCTGTGTAGTCTGCTTTTCTTTATGTACAGTCCTAGTTAGTCATTTATTAATATGCATGCCCAGGGATTAGGCCGTAGATGCTATTCAGCATTTCCACTCTGTGAACAGATCGGGAGTACTTGACTTTTTAAAAATGTGAAAATGTTAGCTGTCTGTAGTGAGGCCTTGGAAGAAATGTCTAATTACTACAATAATGCATTTTTTGCTGTCACTGTGCTGGGCTGCCTGTTGGTCTGGTGCCTGTCTGCCTGAGAACTGCCAGTTGGTTAATTACAGTAGTTTTACAGTGATTTGTAAGAGAAGACATTTGTAAAACAGTTTTTATCTGGAGCGTTTTCCTTCAGTTAACTCAGTGTGTGTACCTTGAATAAAATTGTGGATGGCTATTGTCATTCAGTGATGTAGATTTTTAGATGATGAAAGAAATGTATCTTAAGGGTAAGCTGTTGACCATTTAAAAATGGCTTCATAGTATGCATTTATTGAGAATGCAATCTGGGTTTAGTGACCACTTATTACAATTTAAATCTTTTAAGCTAGGAACCAGTCTGAACTTTTGGAGATGTCACATGTGATCTTCCTTTTGCTGTAGTCCTTGTTTAATCATAATACTACAGTTTTGCTCTGCAGTGACCACAGTTTGAGTTGTAGGTTAAAAGGACACTATTTTCAGGATAGGTGCAGTCTAACATAGTTGTGAACCTTCAAATACAGCTATGCAATGTGTATTTTTCATTGTATAACCTTTATTTGGACACTGCTTTAATTTGCTTGTAAGTGTATAATTAAAATCGAACTGAATGATTAGCCAGGGAAGATCTTTAGCATCTGGTGCATGCATCTCAAACATACACTTTTTGTGTTGTAGTCAGAAAATGATCATCTACTTATAATACCAGAATAATCAAAAGAACAAGTTATAGGCTGACATTTAAAGCTTTGTATTCACTTGAAGTACTCATGATGAGTAAATATTTTGAAGGGGTACCTGAAAAATGGCCTTATCTTCATTAACAAATATGTAATTGAATGGTATTAGGCTTAATGCTGACTATAGACTACTTTTGGTTTTTGCCTAAATGGTGACAGACATCTTAAACCAGCAGTCATAAAAATTAGTAATTTCCACCATATACTATGGCACAACTGTCTTGAAATGTTCTGCTTATGTTAGTGATGCAAAAAATGTCATCTCCAATGCCATGAGAGCTCCTCTCATATTCTCTGCTGCTGATGCCATTTCACACTCCTGGGCATTGAGTCAAAGTAGTCCATTAGCTCTTTACTATTTAATTTAAATACCAAAAAGAAGGAATGACTTGTATGAAAAGTCAGTGGAAACAACCAGTTTTCTGATGACACTGGAACCTGGGAGATCCCGAACAATGTATCTGTGGTTGTAAATCAAGTCAACGTGGAGCCCAATCCTATATTCTGAAGTCAACAACAAATTGATTTTATCATTCAAGAATTGTGATAGAAAATCCAGTTCCAAATGCAGAATACTTTGTGAGGATTTGTAAGAGGAATGTGCTTAACTAGTTGAAATTTGCATTACAAAATACTTATAATTCTGTTGTTACAACTGAAGATGCTATAATGGACTTAATTACATTGCTACAGTAAAATTACAGTGGCTGGAATGTGTACAGAGGAGAAGATAAAAGCAGACTGTTGACATTTCAGATATTTTATGTGGCTAAAATACAAGGATTAGACTAGACAATCCACAACAAGTACTAACAAGCCTCCTGTTATAGATGTATGTGCATAATTTATTATTGATACTTTTTCAGTTCATTTCATCAGCACAGGAAATTTGCTTAAACAGATTAGTACAGTGAAATTTTACAATTTTTTTCTTACCTATTCATTTTTGACATTAGGGATTCCTAAAATTACTGCCAAGATAGACAGAAATTGTGATCTGCTCATATCTTGATTTGTTTGCTAGAAACAAGCTGGTAATTCTAAAATAAAATTACTGTTTCACATTTTCAAAATTTTTTTGAAAACTAAATGAATCTGGGAACTTTTCACTGTTTATTTTCCAAACATGAAAACCTGAATGAAGTCAGGTTAAAAATTAAAAAATTGGAAAAAATTACAAACCCGCCTCCTCCAAAAACTTTTGTAATATACACATTTTACCACAATATAAATGTATAATACACACATTTTTTAAAACATACTAAGGTATCTTTTGTCTCTCTTGGAGCTAGTTGTTCTTCCTGGTTTGCATATACTTGCATAATTTCCTTCATAATATCCTCATTTATGTTGAGCTGCTTGTTGCTTGGAGGTACTGTAACTTTGAAAACCCAGGAGGTACCTTCAAAGCTTGTAGTGCCACTTTGCTGACATTGGAAAGTGTGTCTTGATGACTGTTCCAAAAAGCAAGCACATCCAATTTCACACTATCGTGATTAGGCAAGTTCATTTAAGTAGTACATTCCCCTTTCCATTTTAAAATGTTTTCTTTTGTGGTAAATGATTGAAACACTCCGGCATAAAGACCGTAGCTGGTGGCACATTTCACCTTGAGGAAAGGGTGCGACATCTTGATTACATTTCAAACGTCATTTTTGGCACCAAAAACTTATTCAGATTATAAACCATGCTCATCTCCCATTTCTCACTTAGTGTAGTGTTAAAGGTTTGGAATGCTTTTTGGTTTCCACATGTTATTGGGGAGGAAGTATTTCCAGAAACTCATGAGTTTTCTTAACATATGTTTCTCCTCTTCCTTTTGTGGTCAGTTCAGCTGAGGTTTTCATTGTCAGGATCTAGTAAACATCTGTAAGGGCTAGCAACATGTTGATAGTAGTCAAAGAAAACTCTAGTGTTTTCTACATGTCACACAGTAATTCCAGTTTTTAACAATGAACATTACCTAGGGGTATGTCTAGACTACATGGCATCCTCTTCACTCTGTCTTTACTGTTCTAGAAAATTTTTAGCCACCGATTTTCTTGGTTTTCGGGCATAGATTTGCTTTTTTGCTCCATGTTTATTTTTGTTCCTTATCTATATGTAACCCCTAAACTGTTTCCCTAGCTTCCTAGGGCCCTTATGGTGGTACAGGAAACCTTCGCCATTCAGAATTGATGCATTCCTGACACCACTGAGAACAGTTAAATCTGTGAATACTTTACTGGGCTTGGGGGGAAGAGGAGCGAGTGCTTCGTTTACCAACAGCTCCTGGCAGCCGCAGTGAGCACCAGAGGAGGAGGGGAAGGAGCCTGACCACTTCTGCTGCCCCTCAACAGGTGGGGGGTGGGATACAGTGGGGAAAGAGAGGGCATGGCTTGGGGATGGAAGAAATATGGGAGATTTGCGAATACACAATATTGCGAATAGCAATTCCATGAATCATGAAGGTCTCCTGTAGTTCAGTGAGAGGCACACTATCCCTGGTTGGAATGGGGAACCAAGGACTGACTCAGTCTCCTAGGCAACTCAGAGGTAGAGAGGAGAGACACTATGTAGAACAGTGTTTCTTAAACTTTTTAAGACAGAGGAACACCAAACAATAATTTTTTTATGAGGAACACCAAGGATTTTTTGTTGGACATCCCTCCCCCCAAAAAAAAGGTTGGAG